GTTCTCAGCCTACTCCAGCCCCACAGGCGCGCGCGTCCCCCACGGACCAAACAACCCTCAGGCCCGCGCACTTCGCAGCCCTTGAGACCCCTCGGTCCCTCAGGGACCCCACAACCCTCAGCGCCTGCGCTCGTCTCACCCCACAGGGCCCCAACCTCCTCGGACCCCAGTGGACCTCAGCCCGCCTCAGTCCCGCGAAGCCCTCCCAGCCGAACGTGCCGCACACAGCGGCGCGAGCCGCCCGGACCGACACAGGACCCCAGCAGCGCAAAAGCCGTAACGGCGGCGCCGCCTCTGAATTCAAACCTCTCCCACCTCCCCATTGGCCGCACCCCGCCCCACATGATTGGCGCCGGCCTGCGTCGCCACGGGGCGTCACGGGAAATGTAGTTCCCGCCTCACCCGCGGCGGCGGCGGGAAAAAAAAAAATAGAAATAATGCGCTCGCAGTTAATCTCATCTGGAAGGAATACTCCTCTTCCTGCTCCCATGTGTTCCAACCCTTTCCCTCTGCTAACCGCTGGCACTCGCTGATTATCCACTTTATTACTAGGTTTTAAATTCATACTGTCATTTTTCCTGAGGCACTCACCTCAGGAAACTGGCAATGTGTTCTGCTTTAGTGACACAGAAAATCTCGCTTTTGGGGTATCCCTGAAAAATAAATGGGTTGATATTCCCAGAAGTGGCTCACAGAGGCTGTGTTACTATGATGCTTAGTGACATTAATAACCTTCTCTCTACAAGTATAAAATCAACTGGTGATTCTGCTCTTCATGTTTGATAATGAGGACAGAAAGCATTTATTTCTCTGTAAGTTATTTGGTTAAAAAAAACCTTGTACTTAAGTCCCACAGCAGTAATGCAAAAAGCCAACGGGCTTGCTATTACCTCTTCAATCTGCTCAAGTCAAAGCAGACACTGAAATTGCTCTGACCAGGATATTCTGGTCTTTTCAGAAAACTCCATCCTTAGCAATAGTAAAGCCACAACATGAAAGACATGCAGGAGAAAGGGCTAAAGGTCCCTTACTGTTAATTACCTCAGTTTTTTGACACTGAGAGCTTCAGTGTATGCCCCTTCACACTCTGGTGTCTCCTGATTCAGAGGCGCACTCTTGGATTCTGGACTGTCTTCCTTCAGTTCACTCTGAGAGAAAGCAGGAGCTGGGACTCTCTGAGCTACCACCCTGTGAAAGGGCGTTGAGGCCAGGTGGGCAGCCCTGTTAAAGTCACACGTGTCCTCTGGGTTGGCACAAAGGGTCTTGTTCTTGTAGGAGCCTGTCACAATTGCATCCTCACTCAAACGTTCAATTCCATTCACCTCATCCTGGAGAAAAACAGAAGACACTGTGAAAGCCTGCAGACTTTATGACCATT